GATTGTTACTTTCCATAATACTTATTCAAGAATAAGACTAGAAATTAGCAACAAATTGTTACTTTCCATAATACTTATTCAAGAATAAGACTAGAAATTAGCAACAGATTGTAACTTTCCATAATGCTTATTCAAGAATAAGACTAGACATTAGCAGCAGTTACTTTCCATAATTTTAAAACCATCGTTTCAAAGAATTAACAGCAGCAATGATATTATCAAACCGGCACAAACGAGCTACTAGTAAAGCTGAAAGACTGCTAGTGAAAACATTTGGATCTAAGGTCTGATCTGAAACATCTAGATCTGAAGCCTGATCAGCAGTTTAGCAGATATTATTTGACTGGTAGATCTGATGAGATACTAAAATTAGCCAAATAAAAAGCATCTGAATCTGAGGAATGATCATCAGTTCAGCACGTATACCAGATCGACACATAAACGTCAATACGTCCGTTATTATAATACTACTTCAAGAATATGACTGCTAGTGAAACATTTGGATCTGAAGCCTGATCAGTAGTTCAGGAGATATTAGTTGACTAGTGGATCTGATGAGCTACTAAAATTAGTGAGATAAGAGCTGCTGGATGTGCACTACACACGTAATTACAGTGGTAGATAGCAGTTACAACCACTTTCAACAGGAAGAATGACAATCTGTGAGCAGATTGTCATTGTGTATGTGAAGAAATGGGCGTTTCCTGACTGCTGACCCGAACTTTTGGAGAAATAGGACACTAGTCTTATAATTAACCCCTAATTAGCCCCTAATAAGCTCCTAATTAGAAAATTAGTGTCCTAATTAGCCACTAATTAGCTCTTTATTAGGGCACTCATTTCTTAATTAGTCAATTCATTCATTTTGATAGACGAACGGTGAAACAAACTGCCCGGGTATGAGTTATGAACAAGATTGTGGCATATATTGTTAAATCCTTTCGGTACAAGATTGTGGCTGCAAATAAACTATTTTCAAAATGTACCCCATTGTCATCGCGTTCACTCCACGTTTCCTAGGGAGCTAGGGGGCTAGCTGCCCCAGCTTCTATTCTATTGTTAGGGGACATGTAACGTTTTCGAATGAGCCTGGAGAAGATTCATTGTATCCAAGCTAAATATAGATTGGGTGCCAAGCCAAATAAACTCAGCGCTAATAAACCCAGCGCTAATAAACCCAGCGCTAATAAACTCAGCACTAATATACTCAGCACTAATAAACCCAGCACTAATAAACCCAGCGCTAATAAACTCAGCACTAATAAACTCAGCACTAATAAACTCAGCACTAATAAACTCAGCACTAATAAACTCAGCACTAATAAACTCAGCACTAATAAACCCAGCGCTAATAAACTCAGCACTAATAAACTCAGCACTAATAAACTCAGCACTAATAAACTCAGCACTAATAAACTCAGCACTAATAAACTCAGCGCTAATAAACTCAGCACTAATAAACTCAGCACTAATAAACTCAGCACTAATAAACCCAGCACTAATAAACCCAGCGCTAATAAACTCAGCACTAATAAACTCAGCACTAATCTTCGCTCTATTTTGAATATAAAGTACCCAGAAGTTAAACATAACTTGGGTTCATATTGTGTCAAAAACATATTTTCATGCGGCAGCTTAATTAACCATTTAACCGGTTAAAGATGAAATTAAGATGGCTTAAATTCATGGTTTTATTCAATTTTGTTACCAAACTGAAAAGTTTTCATTTTCAAAATACATCAATGATCTCTGTTACCATGATACATTTTAGCAATACCATAATAATACTTTTCATGGTGAAATTATAGCAACAAGCCTCTTGAGACAGCCAGACGAATGAAATATTTGTTTTGTTTGAGGCTAATTAGTAATTTATTGATTAATTAGTAATTAAATCAGAGTTCAAACTGTTTTGTGTTTTGTCCTCATCACACCTGTGTTTCATGAAGATCTCATGAGACTTAAAAACAACAAAACTATACTAACAAAAAGCTTCAAAATCTTTTTAACACTTTATTTGCGTTATTTATAGTTATACTGACTATCGAGTTAAATATGTAGTCTTCCTAAATATTTACGTTTTATCACGACGTATTTATGTTTTATTACTGAGTAATTACGTTTTTTGCGAATATCACCCAATGTCATGAACGTATAAAATTCTCAGCACGAAAAACTCAGCAAACGATGATTAACAGTAATGCAAACAGTAAGTATTACATAATATTTTAACTGAGCATCAGTAAGTGCACTTCATCTGTCCGGTTCACTTTACCGACTGTCACTGTCACGTCAACTATAAGCCGAACATCACAGTTAAAATGCTAGACTAAAGCTGTAATTGTGACAGCTGAAAATTCTGAAGAATACATCAGTTTCCCAATTAATCCCGTACAATACGAACCCTGATGCAAGACAGGGATTTGTCGAGGGGTTATCTAGCGCAAATCAGACTTAGTTCCGACCTAGAAGTAGCAATAATAGTATCAATATTCAACATAAATATACTAATTATTACTAATCACTAATAATTACTAATTAGCTGTAGTACTTACGATTACAATAAAGGTTGTACAACGTTTTGGTAAGACCGGCAGGAGCAGATATTCTTCGTTTGATAGCGGAGTACATTTCAGCTATCTCATCATCGTCCTCTTGCGCTTCGTCAGTTAGGGCGTTTAGTTTCTCTATCATCTTCGTCTCCCCTGGTAACAACGTGAAACTTGTGATTAAGAAAGTGAGAGTGAAAGTGAGAGTGAAATTTTGCTCCAATTTATTACGAACAGTTGGGGACCCCAAAACAACAAGATTTCAATATGGAAATAACTGTAATACAAACAAGTCAAATCAAGCAAGTCTTTTTTAACATCTTGATATGATCACAATATTTTTTTTTGAGGATTCAAATAAAAATAAAGACCCCTAACCTGGGTCCCTTAGGATACCTCCAGTAATACTGCCTCTACGTTGCAGCACCTGCTGGGGGCGAGGCCATGCACGCCGGCCCCCAGGAGTAGGCACCCCACCACCAGCCCCGTATATCATGGAGTGAGTGTGGGCACGAGCTAGGGGAGGAGGGGCGCCTGGGGGCACTGGGGGGCCTGAGGAGCGCCGTCTTTCCGAGGAGGTTGAGGAGCGCCGTCTCTCTGAAGAGGGTGAGGAGCGCCGTCTCTCTGAAGACTGAGGAGTTCAGTTTAGGGGAGTTGCTAGAGATCTGTATTTACAGAGTCAGTCAATCTTTATCATAATCTTATATCATAATCTATATATGCTGTAGTCAGCCTTCAGTTTGATTCTCGTATAGCGTAAAGCACAAAATGATAAGTTACAGATTTGATAATGAAACTAAAAGTTACTCACGGGGCTCAGGAGGAGGCTCATGTCAGATCCGCTTGTTTCTTCCTGGACATTTTGCAAGAGTGGCCCTCCGTACATCTCTAATGCACGCTAAATTGGCCGAGTGGTACTAGAGAGAAAGTGGCACTAGGAGAATGTGGCGTTTACAGTCCTACCCACAACAAAAACTTTTTTTTTGAGAATATAAATTAACTCGACAAAATTAACTCGCATAATCAATAATTATACATTTCGGCAATTAATAATGGTATAAGAAATATGCTACTAAAAAAATAAATATGGAAATGATTTTTAAAATGTATATTAAAAAACTAATACTTTTTGGTGTAAGCTTGCACCCAAAATAAAACCAAAATAAACCACAACAGAAAGGCACGGTGCCCAAAACAACTGTTATAACATATAAGGGAACGTGATAACGATATTTAATACCACCAGTACTGACTTCTCAGCTTAATACAAATTTTCCTAAAATTTGGGCGAGCGATTTAGTGGGAGCGCCTGAACAGAGGAATTATTATTTACTATTATTTTATGTGTTTTAATTGGTCATTAAAACCGTTCAACGTCAGCTAACGCTCATAATAATTACGATATAACTATATATTATGTATACATTATGTATACATTATGTCTTCATTATGTATATATTATGTATATATTATGTATAGATATATTTGCGTTTTCAGGAAACACGGATATAGATCTAGAAGGAGCGGACGAGCTGGCTAGTGACCGCAAGCACTGGAGAGATATGATACGACACAAAAAGTAGTTCCTTGGCGCAGGCCTCTCAAATAATTGTGGAGACCTGATCAAGTAAAAATAACTAATACGTACAGGGTGATTCAAAAATAATGTTTAGATTTTAAATGGCTCTTATTTCTGAGATAAAGTAAAAAATAACGATATATTTACATTATACAAAGCCCAATTTCAATTGCACTGCCAGGATATAACATGAAGCATGTAACTATCGGGAGCCCACAAAAGTGCTGATAATTGTTTTCAGGAAAGGTAGCCAGTCGGGAGAAGCTCGGTAATTGTGTATTCCTAGGGGGATACAATACTGGGTACTCATTCATAAGAGGTTCTGACTTTACAACCACTTGTCTGATTCGAAACACAAGGAAATATTTCCTAATCTGTGTATTAAGTAAAGTAAGTTAATTGTGTATTCTTAGTGGGTTAACGCATCTGTGTGCCGCCCCCCCCCCCCCCCCCCCCCACCGCTAAATGATGTGTTGAAATATTATTATAGATGTGATACAATTTTATCAGAGAAATACACTTCTTCAGGAATCAGGGTGGACTTATCTAGAAGGTAAGAGGAATGGCTAGACGGCTCTTCCTCCCGCGAATTGTAACTTTACACCACCGTAGCCAAACTTGTGAGTTGAGCACAGTTCCCTCCCCAGTCCACACCGTGCTACAATAACTTAATATATTCCTTCAGACTCTGACAACATTGAGGAGACAATACTGCTCAGAAATATAACACCGCTGTGATCTAATGGAATTTCACGTCACGCATCGCGTTATCTCAGCACATGGCATGTAATACGATATCCGGACCACTCTTATCTAGAAGGGTTGTTCTATTCTAGACGCCTAATCTATAACATCCAAACATTTCGTTGTAGTGAGTGTGTTGTGACTCATTTCTTTTTCTTGTGATTTTTAACCTTACACTTAACCCGGCCTGATTTGTCAACTTGTTTTAATTGACGCATCTTTGTTGGCGAAACATTTATAACTTCTTGGCAGGTACATTGTACATGAGAGATTTATAGTGAAGAGGTTTTGCCAAGTTATAAAACTCGTTTATATTTTGGCCTAGTTCTAATCATGAAATATGTATTATGCAACTAACGTCCTAACTACATAATGTAAATAATATATAATAATAAAGGCGGATTTTAAGCAACAATTAAACCATAACAATTAACACTGAACCTATTTTAATGAGTACAGTTGGTTACTGAATGAAAATGTTTTCAGTGACTGAGTTTTACGAAAATTGAAAAGACGAAAACTGTTTCCGTAATCCTAACTGTAATTTATCTTGCGAAGACTCTGTCCAACCCTATATTATCAGGTTTGTGAATGTTTTACAGTGTTCAGACAACTCAATCTTCCTTCCGTAATGGTTCTTGATTAGTTGAATAATTGGTTGATTAATTTGAGGGACATCTATTCTAAGTCAGCATTATTTTAAAGGACAAGTGCCAGCACGCCATTTTAAAGCTGTAAGATAAAGAAACTCACGCGGAGTATATCAGATTTCAGTGATAAGAAGTAGAAGTAGAGGATCAAAACAACTTATTCAAGCAACTACTTCCTAACTGTAATCTATCTTGTGAAGACTCTGTCCAACCCTATATTATCAGGTTTGTGAATGTTTTACATTTTTCAGACAACTCAATCTTCCTTCAGAGAAAGATTATTGATCTCAGCTAATATATATAATATATATATATATACTGAATTTTAGTTAAATTATTGTGATTATATTACGGCACAGCTTATTTTACATAATACGCCGCTTAATCATAATTATTATTATTAGTTACATGAAGTTTTTCAGGTTTCAGTTCACAGAAATAGAGGGGATCAAAAAACTCAGTCAATCTTAACAGCCTTTCAACATCAGGTACCAAAGTAGAATGCTTGTTTGTACAATTTAATAATTGTTCAGGTGGGAAATTAAAAATCAGTGAGCCAATGCTAAATTAATGATTAAAGTAGACTAGTATGGTGGACCATGAGTATCACTAATTTTTTTAGGGGGTGGGACATATTGACCCATGCCCCATCAGTATCAATGATATTTTTAGGGGGTGGGACATACCTGTCCCATGCCCCATCAGTATCAAAATATTTTTTTCAGAGGGTGGGCCGCCCCATCAGTATCAAGAAGAAAACATTGGTGGGATTTCGTGTACCATGCCCCATGAGTATCAATAAAAATTTTATGGGGTGGGAAATACCTGTCCCATGCCCCATCAGTATCAAAATATTTTTTTCAGAGGGTGGGCCGCCCCATCAGTATCAAGAAGAAAACATTGGTGGGATTTCGTGTACCATGCCCCATGAGTATCAATAAAAATTTTATGGGGTGGGAAATACCTGTCCCATGCCCCATCAGTATCAAAATATTTTTTTCAGAGGGTGGGCCGCCCCATCAGTATCAAGAAGAAAACATTGGTGGGATTTCGTGTACCATGCCCCATGAGTATCAATCAAATTTTTGTGGGGTGGGACATAGCTGTCCCATGCCCCATCAGTATCAAAAACATTTTCTTTTTAACGGGTGGGCCGCCCCATGAGTATCAAAATTTCTTTTTAACGGGTGGGCCGCCCCATGAGTATCAAAATTTCTTTTTAACGGGTGGGACATACCTGACCCATGCCCCATGAGTATCAAAATTTCTTTTTAACGGGTGGGCCGCCCCATGAGTATCAAAATTTCTTTTTAACGGTTGGGACATACCTGACCCATGCCCCATCAGTATCAAAATTTCTTTTTAACGGGTGGGCCGCCCCATGAGTATCAAAATTTCTTTTTAACGGGTGGGACATACCTGACCCATGCCCCATCAGTATCAAAATTTCTTTTTAACGGGTGGGCCGCCCCATGAGTATCAAAATTTCTTTTTAACGGGTGGGCCGCCCCATGAGTATCAAAATTTCTTTTTAACGGGTGGGACATACCTGACCCATGCCCCATCAGTATCAAAATTTCTTTTTAACGGGTGGGCCGCCCCATGAGTATCAAAATTTCTTTTTAACGGTTGGGACATTCACATACCTGACCCATGCCCCATCAGTATCAAAAACATTTTCAGAGGGTGGGCCGCCCCATGAGTTTCAAAATTTCTTTTTAACGGGTGGGCTGCCCCATGAGTATCAAAATTTCTTTTTAACGGGTGGGCCGCCCCTTGAGTATCAAAGTTTCTTTTTAAGGGGTGGGACATACCTGACCCATGCTCCATCAGAGTTAGTGGGGACCATAGGCGGCAGCCCCGGCGGCGATCAGATCAGGGAATCATTAAGACCTGTACGAGTGGGACGGTATGGTTTGGGTAAACGTTAGGGTTAGGGTAAGGGTTAGGGTTTGTGTTAGGGTTAGGGCTAGGGATGAGGTTAGGGTTAGGGATGAGGTTAGGGTTAGGGTTAGGGTTAGGTAATACAAACCGTCCTACCTGTACAGATTACAATTGGACCCATCAGATCAAGGGACAGAGGCCGCTTGCCTTCCGATCAATCTCCGTAAACGTTGCTATTTTTCTGAGTCTGTGCGCGGAAGATTCCATTTCCCGTTGGTTTTGGATCGTTACGAAGTCCGAAAGACGTCAAACTGACATGCAACATGGTCACGCACATTCACTGCACTGGTAAGTTGGGTAATTGTAGCGCAGATCGTCCAAACGATCGCTGTCCTGTCGCGTCTTTCGAATCATTCCATGTTATATGTGCCGAAATTTAAATTTTAATTGTGATAGCCTATTTCGAATTTTTCTGTTTATAATTATAATTGATCGGGATTGGATACAGTGCTCCATGCACGCGTAAGAAATAGCGGCCTTGGCGGAGCATTTTACAGTAACGTAGCTTGGGCCAATAAGAATCTAGGATGGTTTGTATTACTAGGCAGTGCGCCATCGACTGTAAGACGCGCGCGCTGACCATTGAATGATGTTTTAGCTCTTATTTCGGCCAGCACATTATTTCGGAAACAATCAAAAAGTTATAATACTTCCCATATAACAATTTGGTTGAAATTTGGTCAGCGTATGTAAACATTTATGTTTTACTGAACCTAATTTAGTTTGAGCAATTTCGATGGTCAGAATTTGAGTTATCAACGGATTTATACCTATTTTGTCATTTTTAGACCACTTAATCAAGGCCAATCTCTCCCAACTAAATTAGGTTCGGTAGTTAAGTATGATTGGAAGGTTCTGACAAATTTTCAGCATGATTCATGTTCAGGAACTGAAGATATAATAGTAACCCTAACACAAACCCTAACCCTAACCCTTACCCTAACCCTAACGTTTACCCAAACCATACCGTCCCACTCGTACAGGTTTTAATGATTCCCTGATCTGATCGCCGCCGGGGCTGCCGCCTATGGTCCCCACTAACTCTGATGGGGCATGGGTCAGGTATGTCCCACCCCTTAAAAAGCTAAAAAACTTTGATACTCATGGGGCGGCCCACCCGTTAAAAAGAAATTTTGATACTCATGGGGCGGCCCACCCGTTAAAAAGAAATTTTGATACTCATGGGGCGGCCCACCCTCTGAAAATGTTTTTGATACTGATGGGGCATGGGTCAGGTATGTCCCACTCGTTAAAAAGAAATTTTGATACTCATGGGGCGGCCCACCCGTTAAAAAGAAATTTTGATATTCATGGAACGGCCCACCCTCTAAAAATGTTTTTGATACTGATGGGGTATGGGTCAGGAATGTCCCACCCGTTAAAAAGAAATTTTGATACTCATGGGGCGGCCCACCCGTCAAAAAGAAATTTTGATACTGATGGGGCATGGGTCAGGTATGTCCCACCCGTTAAAAAGAAATTTTGATACTCATGGGGCGGCCCACCCGTTAAAAAGAAATTTTGATACTCATGGGGCGGCCCACCCGTTAAAAGGAAATTTTGATACTCATGGGGCATGGGTCAGGTATGTCCCACCCGTTAAAAAGAAATTTTGATACTGATGGGGCATGGGTCAGGTATGTCCCACCCGTTAAAAAGAAATTTTGATACTCATGGGGCGGCCCACCCTCTGAAAATGTTTTTGATACTGATGGGGCATGGGTCAGGTATGTCCCACTCGTTAAAAAGAAATTTTGATACTCATGGGGCAGCCCACCCGTTAAAAAGAAATTTTGATATTCATGGGGCGGCCCACCCTCTAAAAATGTTTTTGATACTGATGGGGTATGGGTCAGGAATGTCCCACCCGTTAAAAAGAAATTTTGATACTCATGGGGCGGCCCACCCGTCAAAAAGAAATTTTGATACTCACGGGGCGGCCCACCCTCTGAAAATGTTTTTGATACTGATGGGGCATGGGTCAGGTATGTCCCACCCGTTAAAAAGAAATTTTGATACTCATGGGGCGGCCCACCCGTTAAAAAGAAATTTTGATACTCATGGGGCGGCCCACCCGTTAAAAGGAAATTTTGATACTCATGGGGCATGGGTCAGGTATGTCCCACCCGTTAAAAAGAAATGTTGATACTCATGGGGCGGCCCACCCGTAAAAAAGAAATTTTGATACTTATGGGGCGGCCCACCCGTTAAAAAGAAATTTTGATACTCATGGGGCGGCCCACCCTCTGAAAATGTTTTTGATACTGATGGGGCATGGGTCAGGTATGTCCCACTCGTTAAAAAGAAATTTTGATACTCATGGGGCAGCCCACCCGTTAAAAAGAAATTTTGATATTCATGGGGCGGCCCACCCTCTAAAAATGTTTTTGATACTGATGGGGTATGGGTCAGGAATGTCCCACCCGTTAAAAAGAAATTTTGATACTCATGGGGCGGCCCACCCGTCAAAAAGAAATTTTGATACTCACGGGGCGGCCCACCCTCTGAAAATGTTTTTGATACTGATGGGGCATGGGTCAGGTATGTCCCACCCGTTAAAAAGAAATTTTGATACTCATGGGGCGGCCCACCCGTTAAAAAGAAATTTTGATACTCATGGGGCGGCCCACCCGTTAAAAGGAAATTTTGATACTCATGGGGCATGGGTCAGGTATGTCCCACCCGTTAAAAAGAAATGTTGATACTCATGGGGCGGCCCACCCGTTAAAAAGAAATTTTGATACTCATGGGGCGGCCCACCCGTTAAAAAGAAATTTTGATACTCATGGGGCGGCCCACCCTCTGAAAATGTTTTTGATACTCATGGGGCATGGGTCAGGTATGTCCCACCCGTTAAAAAGAAATTTTGATACTTATGGGGCGGTCCACCCGTTAAAAAGAAATTTTGATACTGATGGGGCATGGGTCAGGTATGTCCCACCCGTTAAAAAGAAATTTGGATACTCATGGGGCGGCCCACCCGTTAAAAAGAAATTTTGATACTCATGGGGCGGCCCACCCTCTGAAAATGTTTTTGATACTGATGGGGCATGGGACAGCTATGTCCCACCCCACAAAAATTTGATTGATACTCATGGGGCATGGTACACGAAATCCCACCAATGTTTTCTTCTTGATACTGATGGGGCGGCCCACCCTCTGAAAAAAATATTTTGATACTGATGGGGCATGGGACAGGTATTTCCTACCCCATAAAATTTGTATTGATACTCATGGGGCATGGTACACGAAATCCCACCAATGTTTTCTTCTTGATACTGATGGGGCGGCCCACCCTCTGAAAAAAATATTTTGATACTGATGGGGCATGGGACAGGTATTTCCCACCCCATCAAATTTTTATTGATACTCATGGGGCATGGTACACGAAATCCCACCAATGTTTTCTTCTTGATACTGATGGGGCGGCCCACCCTCTGAAAAAAATATTTTGATACTGATGGGGCATGGGACAGGTATGTCCCACCCCCTAAAAATATCATTGATACTGATGGGGCATGGGTCAATATGTCCCACCCCCTAAAAAAATTAGTGATACTCATGGTCCACCATAGACTAGTCTGAGAAAAATGATCTGGACTTAGAGATTTCAGATTGGCAAACGCTGTAGGGCAATATTTATTCTAAATTCAATTCGAAAATTGAGTACATATTACAATTGCAATGCTGACCGGTTATTGACTTTACTTATGAATGTTCTGTAATTTTTGTAAAAGTAAAACGAGCCACCTTATTGGACGTTATTTTGAAACAGTAAGTTCACTTCATATTTTATATTACATCCGAACACCTTATTGTTCACCACATTAATGAATTATGATGACTACTAGTTTTTAAATTTTAACACCTTCATTCATTTCAGACTATCTTACTCCTACTGAACGATGGAATACTATATACAGAACGGAGAAGAAATATTCCTCAAGTTCTGCAACTCACCTGACAACCTTCATCCCATTATGCTACCGAGAGCACCAGATCAGACTTATATTGATAGGTACCCGGAGAGTAGTCCTGACTTCAGAGACGAAAGACAACGGCAGTCTGATTATGAGGCTGAAGTTATAGTGTTTAGGGCCGTAGAGAAATTGGACGAAAAGAAAGTGATCGTTCTGCATAATTTTGAATACACGCACCACCAATATCGATTGTGCGATAAAGATCATGTGAGAAAGGGCTGTCCTAATTGTAAAAAGCCTGTACGTGAAGGAGAGTGTGATTTTTTGGTGATTTGTCCAGATCGATTCATAATCATAGAGGTTAAAAACATGACAAATTTTGACAAGGAGTTTTTGGCATGTGAGCCAGATTTTCATTTGTGCTCGATTGGAGACGACTGGGAGAAAGCTGAATGCATGACCATGAAGAAGCATTCAGAGGTGTTGAATAAGACATTTCAAAAATCAGTGCTGCAGAGGCATAAGATAGTAAACTTAATCGGATGTCTTGACAAGGACATACCAATTCTTCAGTTTACGGCGTATCCTAATTTTAGTGCAAAGTATCGAGAAGAATTCACCGATCAACATGATCAAAGTTCAATAATATTCAAAGAAGATTTGGATGACTTCTCTGCTTGGTGGTTGGAAAAAGTCATCAACAATCCCCTACGCCTAGATCTCAGAGTAAATCTCCCGAACAATTGCGAAAACGTAAGAAACACGTTGTTAGCTCTATGGTGTACAGATAAAAATAAGTGTGATCAATCTAGGTGCAGTCTAGGGCAGTCTATCTTGAACATTAGTACACGGCTCAAAGAAGGAAAATTTACTTTTGTACCTAAAAAAGTGAAGAATCGGGCGCAGAATCCCGGAGTCATTAAAGCTTCCGATGTTATCATGAACTATGTAAAAGTGGAAAACCTAACAGTAGAACAAGATAATGCTTTCAAATCAAAAGAGAACTTTTTGTGGATTACCGGACCCGCAGGGGCGGGTAAAACTGTCATATTGTGTGGTAAAATACTGGAACTGTTAGAATCTGATAAGGACAACAAAGTTGTGGTATTTAAGTTTACTGGAGAGGGTAACAATTCAGAGCATTATCAAAGTGCGTTAGATAACGCTATTATAAAATACGAACTGATAAGCTCTAGTGAAGATGAACACACTCCCACACAACTAGCTAATCTAATTATAACAGAGAGTTTGTGTAGTGTTATTATTGTGGAGATAACAAATTTTCTAAATACCAAACAGTTAACAGATATACTCAGTGTACTGAATGGTTATAATTTGTTTGTTGATGATATACAGACAGTTATTAATTATGATACCACAGCTGAAATTAGGGTTTGCAATCGATAATATCGGCGATAAAATTATAGGCGATAATTCGTAGTAAAATCGTTATCGGTTATCGGCGATAATTTCTGACCGATAAACCGATAATTTCAGAAATTTCTTTTCAAAAATAATTTCGGAATTTTCGAGACTTTACAGCTAACTCGCAGATTCTTACCTCCCATTTTCACTAGATTGATCATAAGATATGTGTGAAACTGATCAAAACATCTGAATTTGCTACTTAAGTACTTAAATCAGCAAGATTTGCAATGTTATCTTATCACTGTTGATTGGTGAAACAAGGTATGTACTATGTAAAAGTATTCATATTTCATGGGATAGTTGCATATTTGAATTCAACGGAATTAAAGTTTAAACGGTAAATCTGTAATAAGTATCCCGTAGTTTCGCCCCACCCTATTACAGATAAGCTGTTCACTTCAAACTATCAATTCAGTTACAACCGTATAAGGTAATAATTTGAACCCGACACAGTACACAGTACACACCATAACAACACAATACACTCCTGCACAGTCCACACTCCACGCCCCTCCCCTGAGAAATGCCGATGATTAACTTGCCGATGATTAACTTGCCTGGGTCGCCCATTTGCTTAAATCGTTGATTGATTACGTTACACGTATCAGTTGTTATCTGTTTTCTGTTGTGTTTCGGAAAACTAGTTAATCTTGATATGTCAACCAACGAGATCTGGAAACATTTCACAAAAGAGGGGGACAACGTGGCCTGCATGCAATGTGACAAGTCTTTTCTCAGCACAACAGCCAGAAGGTCTTACACTAATCTTTGGTACCACTTGAGAGTTAAACACGGTATAGAAAATGCAGCTGCTAATAATGATAAATCTTCGGCATCCCCCAAAGTCAAGCGACCAAAAAATCAGTCCCTAATAGTATCTTACATCGAAAAGAAAACTCAAGCCGAAATGTATAGCCGTTTAGCGGCTGTGGAGTTCCACTTTGTGTAAGATTGTTATTGTCACTGACTGTTCACTGTAAACTGTAAAGTATATCGGATCTTCACTTTCAATTAATTGACTATTTTGAAATTACGCGTTTACAATTTGTGTACGATATCTCGGGAATTCATGACCCTCAATCACGGAAGTTATAAATCATGAACGTATGATTAATTAAGCCACTGAATCGATGGAAAATAAGCTAATTGTTCTGACCAAATTTTATCGCCGATAATTATCGTTATCGCCGATAATTGAAAAATTATTATCGGTTATCGGCGATAAAAAATTGTGGACGGGATAATGCAAACCCTAGCTGAAATGTGGAGTGCACTGATTAACAAGTTATTAGAATTATCAGCAGATAAGATTGTGTGGATAGCTTGCGATTTTGTTCAGGCTTGGTTTATTATTTACACACAAACTATTTTCAACGCAGCTGATCCAATCATTGATTTATTAAAACCCGATCAGAGGGCTACGTTATCTAGAAACTTAAGAAATACGTTTGATTTATCGTATATTTTATCTGTAATCAGAGATCAATTCGTTAAATTATGTTCTCTTAAATCAGATATTTTAGATATAGTTTTACCTACACAATCACCAGGACACTTTATACACGGTACATTACCTGTTATGCATGTTTTTAATTATTATAATGTTGATAGTATTGTACGTGTTATTAATATTGATTTAGATAGATTGTGTGCTGCTAGTAAGATTGCAGTGTGTCACAGTAGGTATTGTGCCTCTAGTGAGTGGCCTGCTGTAATAGTACTGAGTGAAGTGTTGGGTATTGCAGAGGAGAAGGACCTGACTAACCTTTACTTAATGTTATCAAGAGCACGTGTACACTGCTCTGTTGTTATATACCCATGGGTGGGTAGAACATGGGACGACACACCTTACATGTTACATTTGTTACATAAACTGAGTAACTACGCTCGTATTATATGGTATAAGAATTGATGTTATTGTGTAATAACGTTAGTGGGTGACTAGTTCTATTGTTATGAAACATGTGTATAAATAAGCCTCTATAGTGTTTGATTGCACAGCTGAACGTTTACGAATTAATTTAACCGATTTTTGAAAACTTTGATATTTAGAACAAGCCGGGACTCGATCTCGCTACGTCCAGGCTAGACAGACAGATAAGGCTAATGATTAACCGATTGCGCCACTGTGCTGATAACAATACAAACATATTAAGCTAACAATTGAGCGTTATTTTGCAAATTATTTCACCCACTAACCAAAGTTAACTGTTCGTTATTGTAGTTGAAATTACTGTAGAATGTGTTATCATTCATTTTATCTATCTTTCAGTGAAATAAAAGTGTTTTGAATCAAAATATTTCGTATAATTAACGATCAACTAGACTTAGCATAATGTCTAGGTTGTGGTAGAAAAACAAAAAATCTTACCTTTACATAATATAAATGACTAATAAAGAAAATAACGAATAATACGAGACGCAAATTAGTTTGACTAATGTAATTTGGTAATGCAAAGTACAGCAAAATAATTAATTCGACATGAGAATATATAATTAGCAGTCAGTGAATTTGCTGGAAATTATAATTAGTCGTTAAAAGCCTACTAGGATGAGGAAACAAGCAAAATCAGAAAATGTGAGCTAACCGTAAGCTCTCCAACAAAATGATCATATTATTACAGTAATGTAGTAACGGTCAACTAAACTGATAAAAAGAACTGAGCACACAAACCATATCAGAAAACACTCTGTCCGGAGAGTTTACTCAACAGCGGATTGACCAATCACACCCCATAGAGCTCCCTATTGATGGAGAATGACCACGTGACTGAAGACGCCGCCTCGTATTGGTCAAACCAGTAAAACACGTACGAGCAGTTCCCGCCTTTTATCTCTATTTCTTAACCATCACATCTATCAGTGTCCGCTTATCTTTTGTTTACTTTACATTTATTGTTCTTATTAGAATTCTGGGTAATCTTTATTTTCTCAAGGTCGGTCATTATATCTTAGAACTAATAATAATAAATCACATAATGATTTACTTACTTACTTACTACTTGTACTTGATTAGGTCTCCTCAATCATTCGAGTGGCCTGCACCAATGAACTCCCGTTTGTGACGTATCATCTCCCTCCAAAGTTTGCGGTCACTAGCCATCTCGCTCGCTCCTTCTAGGTCTATGTCAGTGTTTCCTGTAAACGCTGCAGCATCTTCCAGCAAACATTTCCTCCAGTTCTTTCTTAGACGGCCCCTAGATCTTCTCCCATGCGCAGGGGTCCAGTTAAGCAGGTACTTAGGAAGCCTAGTGTCTGGCATTCTGGTGACATGGCCAAACCAACGCAGGCGGTTTGCTCCTATGTACGTCTCTACTGGATTTATCTTTGCACGCTCCAGCACTTCAGTGTTTCTAATGATTTACAGCCTTCTTTTATCGAACTATTAATTCTTCAAAGTCATGACCGCCATTATAATCATGGTACTTGCTATTTGATCTATTATAAGATGAAAGATACTGCGTTCAGTCGAAATGTGTTTTAGCTCAAGGCATATCTGACATTAATTAACATATCTCAAATCCCATTTGTGTTACGGATTGTTATATTAACAGGAAACGATGTAACAGAGCCAATGTATGTATTTAATGTCGCACTGGGGTGGCAAGTCCCCATTCATAGCAGCCCACTCGTTTTACTACCTCTTAATATGTAAAATATCAAGAGTTCAGAACACTTTGATTTTGTCACTCATTGATTGGCCGGGAGGTTTTTTGATAAAGCATGGATTAAAATATTAACTCACGGAGATAAAGTTATGCAGAAATAGCTACTCTGCTCACGTGAGCAGAGTAGCTATATTTTGACTGTTACACACACTAGCAAGTAATAGCTACTCTGCTAAGAGGTACCTCTTAGCAGAGTAGCTATTACTTGCTACTATTACCTTAATTGCCTGTACTTGACTGTATGGTTAAGAAACTCAATTTAAGGCGAAATACTAGTGAACAGTCCGTACACGTAGTACCAAGATGTTTGTTGTTGAATTGGAAACTTTAAATTTTAAACCAGTAAAATAATGAGAGTCATATCACGTGTCGTATCTTTTGGTCAACAGAATTTCCCGGTTCACACTTAACCAAAGAAAACGGATATAAGAATGTTACGCTACCTCACGTTTGAAGGTTCTGGCCTTAATAGCTTTGGCACGTACGTCTCACATCCCTTACTGGGGTCCCCAGGTAACACATCCCTTGATACGAAAACCCAGTTCCCTGACCCAAAGTCTCCCAGTAGGCAGGATGAGCATTCTCATGCTATACTGTTGTGGGCCATCTAAGTCCAGTCTCTCTTCAAAACAAACAAAAAAACGTGCGCCTCATATTATCATGCCACAGCATTCATAGACAATCATAGTATAGCTTTAAAGATCTTAGTCAAATACGTGTGAAAAGGGTCCAAAAATGTATCTAAAATTTTAAACATTGTTAGTCAAAAAAGAACCTTTTACGCTTTTAGATATCTCTAATGATCAGGGTCACGTGATCAGGGTCACGTGATCAGGGTCACGACTCAACAACATATCACATATTTTTATCAGTGTCAGTTAAACAACTTAAACAAATCCATCAATCAAGGAAAAGACGTATTCATTATATTCGATTACGGTAGCATTTATCTATACATTGACGGTAAAATGTACAAACTTTGCAATCATAGGTGATTGTCAGTTCATTTCCTATACCTAATTCTTTTCTTTAATCTTAGTAACTTAATAATAAAAGATGGTTCTGAGTCCATTTCCTATATCTAATGTACCTGATTTTCCCCTTTGATTGTACCTAATAATGTCTTTCTTTAATCTTAATGATGCTATGTGGTGCTTAATAAATTTCTAAGATTAAGGTTGGAATGACAGTGCACCGTCTTCTATGCTTAGCAGCTCAGTACGAAAGCCAGACATGCTCCAATAAGGCACAGTATTCAAAAAAAGGGGGGATAAAAATAGAAAAAAGGCACAGCATTCCTCATAGTCATCTCGCGTCCGTTATTGGTTGTGAAGAAGTAAAGGTACTGCGATCAATATGAAATTAATTTATCAGAGATATGCTGTTTTCATGACTCCATGATCAATTTCAATTTTAATTCCAGTGGAGTAACAAAACAAATGATGTCACTATTCATTTTAAAATCATTCATTCCCAGACTGCAGTCAAGTTGATAAAATCTCTCAGAGATATCTGAATTCGTGTAAATCAACTTAATAACACCAGAATGTGTGTGTGTCTGTGTGTCTGTGTGTGTGTGTGTGTAATTTCCGAACGGTTATACAAAAAAAACGGTAATAGTAACGGGACTGGTTTTTTCGGTATAGTGCTGACAAAACTCTGACGAAGCCCATAAGCAAATTTTATAAAAATAAGCCGGTGGTAAGTGGTTTAATTGATGATTTTGTTCCAGAAATGTGACAAAAATGGATGGGAGAGAGAACGAGGAGGATAACATGTACCGTAATTAGTTTAGCCCCACGTAATACTATAAGCTTAGAGCTCACTCTTGCGGCCGCTTTGTTTCAACTGTAGGGAGATTTCATACTTTCATAAGACAGCGTTATGCGTGATATCAAATATATAATGCGGTTGTATACTTTTACATTGCAACTGTGACAGTAAAGTCCCGGCCGAAGGCACGGGTTACACTAAAAGTGTAAATAACTTAATAAAAGTACCTTAATATCAATGATATAACTGTTATATTTAAGTTATAATGCCTCACTCCACTAGTATAATAGATATCAAACGTGAACGAAGCCAAAAGAATTAAAGTTTTTTTAGATATCATTGAGCATAAGCAGTGATACAACGTATCTCGGGATGATCCGCAGAGTCTCGACTAGTTTCGGCTTACCGCCATCAACAGGATCGATGAATCATCTAGCGGGAAATTTGAAATCAATTATCAATAAACAACATTCCGAAAGTATAAAAGTAAAATTCAAAAGAAAAAGTC